AGTTTCCTGAGCCAAAAGGGTGCTTTATCTCCCAAAGATGGTTCCGATGTTACAAGGGAGAATCTTCAACTTCAACTCAACTCAGCTATCTTGGCTTTCTGCTCTAAGCATAACAGCTTTTTCTAGGAACTCAGCAGGGTGTCTCCTTAAAGCAGAGAACCAATCGCCTCATTTTGGGAGGGAGTTGTGGGCGGAGGCCCCAGCTAGAACCACAATCTCTCACAAGTTGATATCAGGGCAATAACTTCCCCTGGATACATATAACTTTCTATCCACGAGAATATTAATACGCAGAATCATCTGCTGAACGTCTAGGTATGAAATATGACATACCTGCTGGGAGGTATCATTTTCTGCTCTCCTGTAGCTGTCAGCTAAGGGGTGTAACCTATCAGGCGACTTGTATTAAAGTGAGCGGTCTGAATACATGCCTGGATTTTAAGTAAGTCTCTCATATTCCAAGATATGTAATCATAGGGGAAAGCGGGTCTTGAATGTGATGTCTGCTTTATGGCTTATCTGGAAAGTCTTTGAACTCAGTGAAGGACTAGGTTTATGGCTTTACGATCCTTCTTCAGCAAGAGAGTCTCGCAGACATATGGGTGCCAGGCTAATTGGGGTTTATAGCCATGAGCTCTCCCGCTGGGCCTTGATGCCTTTTTAACTCTGCATCAAACAGACCACATGTCACTCAACAGAGAGGGAGGGGGGATGAGGAAAGAGGGAGAGAGAGAGATACAAGATGGAGGGTTTGGAGCAAAATGGATGACCGCATCCATCTCTGTGTGCACGATTGCTACAGTCATCTGTGGGAAAAACAGATAGGAATGCACAAGTCCGGGGTACAGAAGGATGGCATTCACTTCTGTATCACTAGGGGACACTCATCCTAATGGCTGGTCTGTCCTGAAGAAGAGGACAGGATAAAGCTTTGAAAAATATTGAAGTAGTTTAGGGCAGACATCACTACATACACAAGTGGCCTACAGGTTTAGAAGTATATAAATGGAAATTTTTCAAATTGAATTAGTTTAGAATCACGGAATAGTGTTCATGGACTGCATAGAATATTTTATAAGGGTGAACTAACCCTTTCAACCTTTTGTTCACTGGGTCTTTGAAGACTGGAACATCCTCAACCAAAACAGTCAGGGAATTGTTTAAGCAAGAGATAGCCAGATCCACCACTTCTTGTGGGAGGCCTCCTCCACTGGGTACTGCTGCGCAAACCTCTTGGGCCAGGTATACGCTTTGTATGACTGCGACCAGGCCTCTCAGAACATCTTGTAAGAATGAGTGAACAGTGAAGAATCTTGTAGGATTCTGGATGACCTTAGGTCCAGTAGGTGGGGGTGGCTCTAGTGTTAAACAGGAGCATACCTTGTCCACCACAACCTTAATGGGTTCTACCAGCTAACTGCTCTTCCTCTGAGGCGTTGTCAGACCCTGATGATACACCTTCTGCTTCGAAAATTGCTGCGCTGTCGACTGGTAGCGATTACACTTTTTGCATACCACCTTAGGTATGCCACAAAGGTGGAAAATTCCTCCAGCGTATGGGGGGGGGAGGGGTAGAGAGGATTGGGGTGTGCCTGAGGGGATTCCAAGGTGTGGAGACTGAGGTGCAATGTAATGAAAGTGAGGTTTAAGAGGAACCCTAAATACATTTTATCATGTCTCATGCAGTGTTTGCGGTCCTGCCCCTCATCCCATTTCCCTTCTGCCTGATGTCTGCCATGAGGGGATCCACTGAGGGGTACTCACAACCTGCATTTCATGACTGAAGGCTGCAGGATAGCCCAGTGAAAGCTGATGTGAAGACCTGAACCGCCATTCACAGAAAGGCAGAGCTGAACTGCCGTGTGCCTTGTCTGAAGTAGAGCAATGTGCTCAAAATAGCAAGCAGAGCTTGAGGAGGGCTGAGGTACCTCCTGCAGGTGCAAAAAACTGTGCATGTGGAATGTGCCAATATGGTGCCCTAATGCTTCATAGGAAACACAACAAAACCTCCTTGTTATGGGGAATGTGGCCCATTATATATAATGGCTATGACAAACTATTTATAGTGTTGCATGATGCTCCAAGGAAACAACAAACCATTTACACACTGCTCCCAACTGAAGGAAACTCCCCGTCTACCACCCACATGTGCAGAAGGCAAAGGGTCCAGTGTCCAGACTCACCAGCTTCAACAGGGCATACGCTTTTCGGAGAGGGTCTTCAGGGGTTGGGTCAGACCAGTGTGGATTGCACTGCCATGGACCCATACAGCATCCTGCACCTCACTTTACTACTGTACCAAGGTTTAAGGCCAAACGCAGAGTATAGGGCCAGAGGCAATGTTACAGGCTGGCCCACTGTCTTCCAAGTGATGGGATCTAGTTATGGTTTCCTGAGGTGCTGCAGGGAAGGACTGATCCAGAAGCTGCAAGAATTAGCCACAGTGCCTTTAGATGCAGTCAGGTGCAGAAAGAACTTATCTGTGCAAAGAACAGAGCGTAGCCTTTTCAATCTTCCAGTTATAAACCAGAAACTCGCTCTCAGTAGAGACAGGTTGACCATTACCCTAAGGGCACTAGCAAAAGACTGAGGATTTCTGGGTGCGGAATGGCTTATATGGGTTGTCCCAACAACCTTGTGTGCCAGTGTACTCACCTGAAAGTGGCAGCATACACGATCAGGTGACAGCATATAATCCATGGTCTCAATTGATGCAATCCTGTGTCCTGCACTGTACGATTCAAAAAGGAGCAGACTGGTTGATCATTCCACATATGTTAGGAAAGATGGTACATTGATCCCACCCCGACATCACAGACTGTGGAGCTAGTGTATTGCTCATCCAGAAACCCGCACAGCTGCAGCGTGCTCTCCCTTGCCCACAAAATCTGCCAATGAGCAGTGTGTTCACCCTTGTTCACAAAACTGCACATGCACAGTGTGTTCTCCCTCCATGTCACAGCAGGAAGGTGCTGATCACTCGAAATGTTACTCTTTCTTTCGGCCAGGCTTTGTGGAAGCTGCTTTTGGCCTCAGAGTAGATAATTTAAAAGAAGTTAAATTTCTCTACACTGTCCCATGATTTGTACATAAATGGGGCCCGTTGACTTCATAAAGGTGAACTAACCCTTTAATGACATGTCTTCTCACTGAACTGGTATTTTTACTTTGTTGGGTCAGCCAGTTACTAAACCTTTTTCACTTTTTAATTCATTGCATGTGCTCTTTTTTGTGCCATCTGCAACTTGCCTATACAAATGGGTTGGCTGTGTTAAAAAGGGTCATTGCTTACATGCTGTCTGAAAGCTTGGCTTTTTCTTTTAAAATGTTGCTTGACTTAAGTTGGTTGTTAAAGTGTATGAAAATCTTTTGTCTCATCTGCTTGATTTTGCTACTCGGCGCTACACTAATTCAACTGATAATTGCAGGGTCATGAAATGCTGTACCCAAACAAAATTTACGTCCTTTTTTTTCACACAAATTGAGCTTTCTTTTGGTGGTATTTGATCACCTGTGCACTTTTTATTTTTGGCGCTATAAACAAAAAAGGTTTAGAGAAAAAAATTTTTTTTTGAAAAAACAATATTTTCTCATTTCTCTCATAAAAAAATCCAAAAAAACTAAAATTTTGTCATAAATTTAAGCCAAAATGTATTCTGCTACATGTTTTTGGTTAAAAAAAATCCCAATAAGTGTATATTTATTGCTTTGTGTGAAAGTTATAGCATCTACAAACTATGGTATAGATAATGGAATTTACACAGCTTTTACTTTCTGACTGCTCATCACATTTCTTGAGGTGCTAAAAAATACTAGGACAGTACAAACACCCTCAAATGACACCTTTTCAGAAAGTAGACACCTTAAGTTATCTGCTGAGAGGCATATTGAGTCCATGGAAAATAATTTTTTTTTTCTACAAGTTTCTGGGAAAATGACAAAAACTTTTTTTGTTTTTCCACACACACAAAGTTGTCATTTAAATTATATATTTCTCACACAAGCCATGGGCATATGTGGAATTACACCCTTAAAATACATTCTGCTACTTCTACCGTGTATGGGGATACCATATTTGTGAGAATTTTTGGGAGCCTAGCCACATACAGGAGCCTGAAATCCAATGACGACTTTAAAAGCCTGAAGGTGCATAACTTCCTCATTTCACTTCCTCACTACCTATCACAGTTTCAAAGGCCCTGAAATGCCAGGATAGCACCAAACCCCCCAAATGACCCCTTTCTGGAAAGTAGACACCCCAAAAAATTTAAATAGAGGCATGGTGAGTATTTTGCAGATCTCATTTTTTCTCACAAAGTTTTGAAATATAAAAAAATAGAAAAAATATGTTTTTGTTTTTTTTCTTCATTTTCCAAAAACTTGTGGCAACAAACGAGATCTGCAAAATACTCACCATGCTTCTTATCAAATTCCATGGGGTGCGTACTTTCCAAAAAGTGGTCATTTGGGTGGGTTTGGTGCTATCCTGGCATTTCAGGGCCTCCGAAACTGTGATAGGTAGTCAGGAAGTGTAATAAGGAAAAAAAGCCCTTTAACCACTAGCCTACAGGGCACTTATACCCCCTTCCTGCCCAGGCCAATTTCCAGCTTTCAGCGCTGTTGCACTTTGAATGACAATTGCGTGGTCATGCAACACTGTACCCATATTACATTTTTATCATTTTTTTGTGACAGAGCTTTATTTTGGTGGTATTTAATCAACTCTGGCTTTTTTTATTTTTTTTCTTAAACCAAAAACTGAAAATTTGGGAAAAAAACTTTTTTCTTAGTTTGTTATAAAATTTTGTAAATAAGTGATTTTTCTCCTTCACTGACCTGCGCTAATGAGGCTGCAGTGATGGGCACTGATAAGCTGCACTGATGAGGAGGCACAGGTAGGTGGCACTGATGGGCATTGACAAGCATAACTGATGGGCACTGAAAGGCAGCACTGACATATGGCACTGATATATGGCAATGACTGGCACTGACAGGCGGCACTGATGCACACACTCATAGGCAGCACTGACTGGCACGGATAGGTGGCACTGACTGGCATTGATAGGTGGCACTGACTGGCACTGATAGGTGGCACTGACTGGCAGCTCAGATGGGCACTGATATGTGGCATTGATGTGCACTGGTAGGCACTGAAATGTGGCACTGATGGGAACTGGCAGGTGGCATGGATGAGCACTGAGAGCTGGCACTGATGGACACTGACAGGTGGCACTGCTTGGGGCTACACTGATCATCAGGGCACACTGATCATCAGTGCTCTGATGATCAGTGCACATGTCCCCTCCGAGGAATGCCGATTACCGGCTCTCCTCTCCTCACGAGCTGTCAGCGTGACAGCTCGTGAGGAGAGAAATGCCGAAAACCGGCATTTCCCTGTTGATTGGTGATCCGCTGTGTCAGTGCCAATCAGTGCCGTCTATTAGTGTGCATCAGTGCCACCTATCAGTGCCATCAATCAGTGCTGCCTATCAGTGTCATAAATGAGTGCTGCCTATCAGTGCCCATCAGTGATGCCTGTCAATGCCCAGTGCCAACTATCAGTGTCCATCAGTGCAGCCTATCAGTGCCCATCACTACAGCCTCATTAGCGCACATCAGTGAAGGAGAAAAATCACTTATTTACAAAGTTTTATAACAAAAACTAAGAAAAATGTTTTTTTTTTTTTCAAAATTTTCAGTGGTTTTTGGTTTAAGAAAAAATAAAAAAACCCAGAGGTGATTAAATACCACCAAAGTCATTCAAAGTGTGACAGCGCTGAAAGCTGGAAATTGGCCTGGGCAGGAAGGGGGTATAAGTGCCCTGTAGGCTAGTGGTTAAAACTGTGCATGCCCCGTGCAATGGCGACAAACTGCATACGTTTTTAATATACATAGGCACTTTTTGTTCACATGAAATAAATCAGTATTTTTTGCTAGGAAATTAATTTAAACCCCAAACATTTATACATTTTTTTTAAAGCAGACACCCTAGTGAATAAAATGGTGGGTGCTGCAATTTTTTTGTTATATGGTACTAGCGCAGCGATTTTTCAAACGCAACTATTTTTTAAATAATACACTTTTTTTTACTTTTAATGCACAAAAACACAATATATTGGCCAATTATTTGCTAAGATATAAAAGATGATGGTATGCTGAGTAAATAGATACCGAACATGACATTCTTTCAAACTGTGCATGCCCCATGCAATGGCGACAAACTGCATACGTTTTTAATATCCATAGGCAATGTTTTAAAAGCCTTTACAAGCTACCATTTCAGATTTACAGAGGAGGTCTAGTGTTAGAATTAATGCCCTTGATCTGGCATTCGTGGCGATACCTCACATGCATGGTGCAACTGCTGTTTCCATACTGGCACAGGGTCAAGGATCACGAACGCAGGTGCGCGGGGGGGTGAGGGTACTTTTTTTTTGTTATTTTATTTTTAATTATTTTTACACTGTCCCTTTATTTTTTTTGATCACTTTAATGCTATCACAGGGAATGCAAATATCCCCTATAACTTCAATGGGCATGGTCATATATTCTTTTTTCAGAAATCTGGGTTCTATCAGACTCTTGATATCTCCTCTGTCTTTACCTTATCTAATCACACCAGGATCGGTGTGATCAGATGCTTTCCCAATTTACAAATGGCACTGTTTATATCCTGCGAAACTGAAGTGATTAAATGCTTGTAGCTTCTTATTTTTGGCACCATTCTGGTCTCCAATCAGCTCTATGGTCAGCTGGCAGAAGCACCGGCTGCATTCTCAGGTTCCCCCGATGGCACGGGACTGCCCGAGAAGGCCGTGCAAGGCAGTGGGGGAGGGGGGCATTGTCTCCCGCTGCTTGTAAAAGCAATCCTGCAGCTAATTAGCCACTAGGATTGCTGTTACATGAAAGCAGATCGCCAGCTGAAAAAAATGATACCAGGATGATGCTTGCAGCTGTAGGCATCATCCTGGTATAACCATTCAAATTCCAGTGATGTACCAGTACGTCGCTGGTCCTTGTTGGGTATATATGCTATGTTCTATTTTATTTTTGTATGCAGCCTGTGGACTGAATGAAAAAAAGAGAACAAATCTCTGCCAAAAAAAAAAAAATGTGTGGTATGCCCACCATTAAAATATACTGCCCTGCATCCACCCACTTCTAATGGTGGGCACACATTAAGTCACACTTTGCCACATGTGCCAGTTCCAAGATTGTACAAATGTCTAAATAGTGGCACGCTTCAATAAAAATTGTCCACGTTTAAGTGGTACCCCATATGGAAAAAGGATGACGAGGGGCTGAATTTTGTGGAGCCGGTCAAATTCAGGGTCACCTCAATGATGACAGAGTGTATTGTTGTTGAAATGCATAAAACACATTATATTCTCATATCTATGCCTGGCCATGGCAGCAGAGAACACAGGCATATGATGAATCGGGTCTGTGGATCAATACAACCGCAATTAATTTTTTTTAGTAATGCCCATGTTGTGGGTTAGGCCCAAAAAAATATAAATTTAAAAACCGTAATGGGTTTCCATGCGAATGGTCTGGCAAGGTTTGAATTTTGGATGGCGGTGATACATATAAAATGCTTTGATCCACAATCAATGCATACAGATCTTCCGTGAAAAACAGCTTAAAAAAAATCAAGGGAAGTAGTTAAATTTGCTATTTCCACCTGAATTCCGGGTTGGGCAGTGAATGGGTGAAGTACGGGTGCTGCAGAATTTGTGGGCTGCCAATCGGGATTTGCAAGCACATCTGGAAGTATACTAGGGGTTCTACGGGCCTGTGTGTGAATTCTTGGTGGGTGCGGGACAATACTTGTGCTCGCCACCGCACCAGCTTGTACTGCACTTATGGGACTCGCCACGTCACCAAGTGATACTGCAGTGCTGGTATTACTATTATTATACAGGATTTACATAGCGCCAACAGTTTTCTCAGCGCTTTACAATATAAACAGGAAACAATACAGCAATAATACAGTTCAATACAAGAGGGTTAGGAGGGCCCTGCCCCTTGGAGCTTACAATCTAAGAGGTATGCGAAAGACCAGGATGTACTAGACCACTGGTGCTCGCCAGTTCACCAAAAGGTAGAGCGGCACTAGTCCTGGCACTCTGCTGCATATGAGAGTCATTAAAATTTACCCACAAGTGCTAATAGAGATCAGGCCTGATTCTGCGAACACTGCGGTTTTGTGTGCAATGTATCAAGTGACAGTGACCTACTGGCACTGTACTTGCTAGGGAAGAAGGGGGGGGGGTAAGAGTAGGGGCTAAACGCAGGTGCTGGCAGGTGCCGGAGCTGATCTCGCTAACGCTGTGTTTTTGGGGATGCTATGCTAATGTGAACGCTGGTATAGTGCTGATCTGATCAAAGATATTGATCCGGTCAGACACTATACAAGCAATGGAGGTTTATTGTGTATGAGCGTGTTCCTGGCAATCAAGGGGTTAAATGTGATGACTGGTGTACTGACGGGCAATCAGACGTGATCTGGGAGGGGCGTGAAAACCACGGGAGCGCAAATCACATATATGTATATATATGTGAGTTTGCGCACCTGTGCCACCCTGTAGCAGTATATCTGCTATAGGGCGGTCAGGAAGCAGTTACATAAGCAGTTTGTTATGGAGCTGCGTCACTTTAGCTGACAATTGCGCGGTCATGCAACGCTACACCAAAATTAAATTTACATCCTTTTTTTCCCCACGCATTGGGCTTTCTTTTGGTGGTATTTGATCACTTGTGCGGTTTTTATTTTGTTGCTAAAAAAAAAAAAAAAAAAAAAAAAAAAAAAAAAAAAAAGACAATTTTGAGGAAAAAAAAAACAATATTTTGGACTTTTTGCTATAAAACATGTCCAGTAAAAAAATGTAAATATCAAATTTCGTCATAATTTTCGGCCAAAATGTATTCTGCGACATGTCTTTGCTAAAAAAAAAAATCCCAATACGTGTAAATTAATTGGTTTACGTGAAAGTTATACCGTTTACAAATGGCGGTATAGATACTGGATTTTTAATTTTTTTTTATGCTAATAATAGTGGCGATCAGCGACTTATGGCAGCAATCAGCGACTTATGGCGCAACTGCGACGGACATTCTGACACTAGGGGGAACTGACTTGGGGTCACTGACATCCCCAGTGACACCAATACAGTGATCAGTGCAAAAAAAAAAAACACTGACACTGTACTAATGGCATTGGGGAGGAAGGGGTTAACTTTTGGAGACAATCAAAGGGTTAACTATGTGAGGGGAGTGTTTCACTGGGGGGCGGGGGGTGTACTGCTCTGTTACACACTGTTTCGGGAGGCTGTGTCTTGGGATCCCAGAACAGTGAGCTGAAAGCTGACAGGGAGGAAAGCTCCACTGAAAACAATGTAGCCTTCCTCTCTGTCAGTGATTGCTGGCAATCGCCGGGCTCCGGTGGGTAATCACCAGCCGGGACCCAGTGATTGACATGCGCAGTCGCGATCGTGCGCGCCCCCTACCCCGGAAAGCAGGATCACATTTATATATGTGATGCTGCGCACAGGGGCTGCCTTGTAGCAGCATATGTACTGCAGGCAGTCCCCTAGTGGTTAAAAAAAAGTTTCATGTTGTAAGTACAAAAATGTGTTACCTGGCTTTACCCCAAAGGAGAAGTTGCATGAATTCATCTTGCACAGAGGTGGTGGTATTTTTTTCCTAAAAGAGTGAAAAATAAAAAGAACAAAAAAAAAAAACTTTCAGCTTGTGTCTAGTAGTACAGCAGGACCTAAACACGTGTCCATGAAGGATGGAATGAATCAAATGTTATAGTTTAAATCAGTGTTTAAAGTGTAGCTAAAGGCAACACTTTTTTTCCCATTTTGGATAGAGTAAGGGAGGGTTATAACCCGTCAGTTTTTTTTCTTTGCATTTCCTTGTCCCATATAAGAGATTCCCCTTTAATTCCTGTCTCATATCCAGAATAGTGAGAGGAAATCCCTTCAAAGTGAGGAAATCTCAGGGTGTCACCAAGGTCACCACACCTAGTGTCCCATTTAGAATATTTGCCTTCTATTACTGTTCTGTCAACAAAAAATTAAGATTTTCTTTTACTTACACTGATAACAATAAACAGGACAAAGAGAGGGTGAATATTTCTAAACGGGGGGCACAGACAGCAATAAAACCTGATAGGTGTTCTAATCCCTCTCTACTCTATCAAAAAAACAAAAAAGTTTTGCCTTTAGTTACATTATAATGTACAGAAAGAGCATACATAGGTGAATGGTACAAAGTGAATTGAATATTTGTAAACAGCAAAGGATAAAAGGATACAGAAAGTCTGTATTTATCATAAAGTCTCTCTGACCATGACCATATATTTTTTTTTTATTCAGTTCTAATATTAGGGTTTTGTTGTGTTTTGCTTTAATTATTATTATTAGATCGAATTGTATTTTTCATGTATATTATTTCAGTTATATATTTAATGGTGCAATGGCATCTACTTACCACGTAAAATCGATTAAAAACGAATCCACTGCACCTTATCACTTACTCTGATATTCCCTCATCGCTGAATCCTCA